TTGCACAAACAATCGCCTATGTGCCTTTTATGCAACAAAGTTTTGGGCAATGACGCTATGAAACCATCTAAGATGCAAGATCATCTGAGAAGATGCCACCCTGATAAAACAGAGAAAGATTTGAAATACTTTCAAACACTCAAAGATAAATTTCAGAAGAGACCTACACTGGACAGAATGTTCGCTTCGACGTCACAAAGAAATGATGATGGTTTGCGGGCGTCTTACAATATCTCGTTACTTATAGCAAAATCCGGAAAACCGCATACTGTCGGAGAGAAGTTAATTTTGCCAGCATCTGATATCATTAAAAGAATTCCCTTAAGCAACAATACTGTTAAAAGAGGTATTGATGAAATGAGTTCTGATATTGAAAGCTTCTTATGTAATTATTTGCAAACGACCCGTTTCTCTATACAACTTGGACGAGTCAACTTTACCTGATAATGCAGAATTATTATTGGCATATGTTCGTTTTATTATGAATCAAGAAATCTACGAAGAACTGCTCTTCGCAAGAACTTTGATAACCGACACTGAAGGTGAGGGAGATTTTTTGCACTTTTTGAGACTATTTTAGAATTTCTGGATACTACAGATAAAATTTTAAAAGAAAATTTAATGAAGAGGAAAACAGACATCGCCTATTTAACAGATTTGTTTACAAAATTTAATATGGTTAATTTGCAATTACAAGGCGACAGTTTAAATTTGATTAAAACAAAGTCCATCTTATCAGCGTTTCTTGCCAGAGTTAAACTAATGAAGCAAAATATTGGACGAGGCGAATTTTCTCAGTTCCCCAATTTGTCACAGACAAGCTGCCAGGAAGACGGCGTTTCAACTTACGTTCAACATTTAAATGCCCTCTATTCAGATTTTGAATCTAGGTTTGAGGATATTTTGACTATGGTAATACCACCGTGGATAATTAATCCATATGGTGACATAGAACAAACGAATGTCATAATACAAGAGGAGCTGACTGAACTAAGTACAAACGAAGAACTTAAGGTTCAGTTTAAAAACGGATATCAGCAATTCTGGCTGCAAAACAACATACCCGTTACTTATCCCGTAATATGAAATATAGCGAGGAAATTTTTGATTTCCTTTTCATCGTCATACCTAGTGGAAAGGGGGTTCAGCGCTGTTACCAATCTCCTAACGAAAAAAAGAAACAGACTGGACATCGTTAGCCGAGGAGATTTAAGATTAACCCTTACAAAATTGACGCCAAATGTTGATAATTTATTATTAAAGCATCAGGTTCATCCTTCTCACAAAAAATATTGACTTATTGCTTATGTTATTTTATTTTAGTTTATTTTATGTTTATTGGTGTCTGACCAATAAATGCCCGCATTGGGAATAAGTGCCCGCATTGATTTTTTTAAAGAACCCCCCTTTATAGAAAATATTTTTTTAAATTATTCTGAAAATTCAATGATAGGTACACACTAAAATTCGTTAATTTTTTGCCTATTTTTAGATAACTTAGACGTATAAGAAGCAGAATTTAATCAAACTAACAGTGAAATTATTGTAGAACATACGTTTATGTTATAATTAATAAACAAACTCGCTTATTGTACTATTTTAAGTAAAAAACTTTTTTTTATTATTTATCACTTTTTTTTTATTTTATTCCTCTTATTTTTTTCAATGCGGACACTTATTCCCAATGCGGGCACGTATTGGTCAGACACCTGTTTATTTAATGTTACGTATATTTTACATAACAGATACAAAATTTAATTTTGAGTAGTTTTAATTAAATTCAATTAATAAATGTATAAATTAACATGTGTTTTTACTTTAAGTTTTTAACACTAAACTTCACTACAGTTAGAAATTTACAGGAAATCAATATCAGGTAAGTAGGGGGTCTACCCAACACGGAAAAACATGGCAAGGGGTCTACGACACAAAAAAGTTTGGGGAACTCTGATCTAGAGCGACACACAAACTCGACTGGCTACCAGTTTTCTGCGGAGTTGCCACATCTTGTTCAAAATCAACAACTGCTCTCAAGCAATCGATTGATGATAGCACGGAGCAGTGCAATCGTAAAAGGTGATAACTAGATAAAGAGTATTAAGTTGTCTCCAATATGTTGTATTTTCAAATAGAAGAACTCATGTGTATGTACAGTTATAAACTGTTTGTAACACCTGCACCGAAAAGTAAGTCTTTGGTTTCAGTACCCTAATATACAGGGTGGCTTATCGAAAACGAAACAGACGCATTTACTGGCAGCTCAGTTTTTTTTTTGAAAAACGCTCAGACCCGTCGATTTTGTTTTCGAGGGGGACACAAGTTTGGCAGAAAATCACGTTATTACGTGCAGCCCCCTAAGCGGAGGTGACACCACCCCCAAAATCTTAAATGGAAAGGGGGGTCGAGTGATACCTTATTTTAAAGGTCTTTCAATTCCCTTTATAATGATATAAAATTAATGTACCTCAGTTCAGTAGTTTTGAAGATTTATTGATTTAAAGCTTAATTAAAACTAATATATCATCATTAGTGATCAATACATTTGGCAGCAAAGTAATTTAAAAATGAAGAATGAACTGATCCGTTAGGCAAGTAAATGTTGAAAATGGTCACCATGACTCTCCATGCAATAATAAAGATTTTGGTCAAAACGTTGCCGCACATTTTGCAATGTTTGAGGAGTAACTTGAAGGCACTCATTCACAATTCTTTGTCGCAGGTCTTCTAATGATGTTGGCTGAGTAGCATAGATTTTGCTTTTTAAATGACCCCACATAAAGAAAACCAAAGGTGATAAATCAGGCGATCTTGGGGGCCATTCAATGGCACCTCTTCTACCAATCCATCGATCTGGAAACGTCTGATCTAAATATTGTCTAACACGTAATGCGTAATGTGGTGGGGCACTATCCTGATGGAACATCAACCTATTCGCAATGTACCGCCGATCATTCTGATTTTCAATTATGGCTGTTAATGCAGGATCTATGGCGTCTTCCAGTAATTCCAAATACATTTCACCGGTCAAATTTCCAGGTAAGAAAAAAGGACCAGCTAAATGATCGCCAAAAATACCAGACAAAACATTTAATTTTTGTGACTGCTGTGTATGAACCTCATGATAAATTCTGGGATTAGAATCGGACCAATATCGGCAGTTACGACGATTTACTATGCCATTTAAGAAAAAGGAAAATTCGTCGGAAAAGCAAGTGTTGGATGGAAAATGTTCATCGTTTATAATTCGTTCACTCATATCTTCACAAAATTGTAATCGCCGATCAAAATCGTCTTCATTAAGTTCTTGTACCAGGTACCAGGTGAATTTTATACGGATGAAAAGTATGGGCCTTTAGAATCCGTTGGACAGTACGTCGACTAACACCACACTCAGCCTCCAATTTGCGGGTACTTAACGTGGGATCTACAAAAACTTGCCCTAAAACCCCCACCTCTATTGCTTCGTTCCTTATGGATTCTCAATGTTGCGTTTTTTATTGTCGACTGACCCAGTTTCCCGAAATTTAGCTACAAGTTCTAGAACATTTTCGATGCACGTTATTGTTCTCATGTCGCTCATTAAATATTTCTGCTGTTCTATTAGCGCACTGATTATTTCCGAAAAATATTTCGATAACTTCAACTCTTTCGGCTGTAGAATATACAATGGTTAATTTATGTAATAAAGCGTTACAAAATATTTTAGCAACAAAGTTTGGTCAAATCAATCGCAAACTATGTACTAAATTCCTATTTAAAATAAGTACGGGATATTTGCTTATCTTTCTTCAAGAAATAACTTTTTTGCCACAAAAAACGCTCCAATAGCTATTTTCAACAACAAAATGATAAACAAACCATGGGCGTAGTGAAGAAATGCATTTACTTATTAAGTAAATTCTTTTAGTCAAATTTCTTCTGAAAGTAGTACAAACTACAATGTACCTTTTAAAGTCTACTTTAAGCTTTAAATCAATAAATCCTCAAAACTACTGAACTGAAGCTCATGTATCTTACATCATTATAAAGGGAATTGAAAGACTTTTAAAATAAGGTATCACTCGACCCCCCCTTTCCATTTAAGATTTTAGGGTTGGTGTCACCCCCGCCAAACTTGTGTCCCCCTCGAAAACAAAATCGACGGGTCTGAGCGTTTTTCCAAAAAAAAACTGAGCTGCCAGTAAATGCGTCTGTTTCGTTTTCGATGCGCCACCCTGCATATGTTTATAAGGCATTATTATTTATAACAAAGCTCGCAACGCATTTTAGATTTGATATGCGCTTTTATATTTATGGCAACAGGATGTATCTACAAATAAATTACATCACCCAAACACTTATCATCATCATTCGGACATTCTCTATTTGGAAGATTACAATTTAAATTTACGATAAAATGCCACGTCACATCCACATCTTTTCCACGTGTATAAATGATCAACACAGGTACAGATGTATTTGCGGTCACTGTTTCACGTGGATAAAACGTCCCTCTCAACCAGTGACGTGCTACACCGGTTTTCCTCGTTTTATCGACGTTTATCGATTATATTAGAAGAATACAGGAGTAAATTATAACAAACTAATGCGTTTACGTTAATTAACCGGATTTTATTGGCCGCAGCAGAAATTGGTATAGATTAATTTATATATTTAAGCGAAATTTGATCCATAACTGACGTAGAATTTTCCCTAAATTCCAACTTTGACCAAAATCACCAAATATCTACGTCGATTCCATGACACCGTGCTGGTTGGGAATAATTGAAGACATAAGTGTATAAAGATGTTACGTCACAAAATACAAGTTCAGAATTATTTAGGAAAATGTGATTTGATTTGGAAATTTTTGCTTTATTTTGACTCTGATTAAAATCAGTTGTTTAATATGTTGAAGTACATATATTATTTTTATTGTATTAAATCCAGTATACTGAACAATTCTTAGTTTATTAGAAAAATTGCAAAAATGTACACTTAATCACTGAAAATGCGGTAGAATAAGAGAAACGTGGAAAGAAAGAAGTGTCCGTTAATTAATGGTTTTCCTCCGTTTTTTTTTACTGATTGTCTTGAAACAGGACTGTACTTTTTATTACAAATAAAAATAGAAGTTTCAATAACTACTGTATGACGAACCATGTATATATAAGCAAGTTTTAGCTTCAGCAAAAGAATGGTGCAGGAAATAAAAGCAATGAGGCTTGGAAAGTCGTAAATGAATTAAGAGGCAAACCTACTACCACCAACGTACCACCTATAAATCCTGGTGTACTAAATAATTATGGTACACAATAGCGGAAAAATGAAATACTATATACAAGAAGTTTTTACTTTATCCTACTGACATTTATGAATTGCAATTAGTATTAATGTGTTAAAAATAAAAAATCATGAGGCATTGATGGAATTTCCTTAAATGCTATAGCTAATATTTGACTTAGGCTCTTGATACGCTCACAAAACTGATTAAATATTTATCTTAACATAGGTGTTTACCCAGAATTTTCGAAAACATCAATAATTATTCCTATTTATAAAGCGATTTACCAGAAACTTCTACAGTGTGTCCCAGCCATAGCTAACGTTATAATATCATTCGTGGTGCGAAGAGTGTCCGATTCTGAGGTGAGGTCATCAAATCTGTTTGTCACATGGTCTGTTGACGCAGTAGATGTATAACTCACATCAATGAAATTTGAAAATACAGAAGATGATCTTTGACTGCTGTTATTCGGCGCAGACTTTTCTCTGTAATCCTTGATACCGATTTTGCTCAAAAGGCATTGGATTCGACACTTAGCTAATAAGGCATTTTCTACCGAAAAAGTTTTAAGTTGCCATGCAACACTCTTCCTAAACACGTCAAGAGGGTTTTCTTCGTCAGAATTGACTTGCTCATGTAAGCTTTTCAAATCAGAAACCGCTTTGACAATATTCCTACTCCTCTTCCTTGCACGTGAACTATTTCCAATGCTGCTAGTAGAAGCTGATGTAGGTAAATTTGTGGCGTTGGTTTGTATTACATCAGCTGTAGTAATTGCTTCGGTGTCGCGGGATTGTAAGGTCACGGAGGG